GTGGGGTTACGTAAAAGAAAAAGTGTTTGTGAGTGCGTGTGCAAGTGAGTACGAAATGCGAGACCGCATCACAAATGCTTTCCAGAGCCGGAAACCGGAGCGATTCTAAGGTACCTACGCATTTTTCTTTTTTTATCATTTATCAGTTACCATGTTATGATTGTTAGATTTTCTTTTGTTAGTAATGCGGCTATCTTTAAATAATAATTTATTGTTATTAAAACGTGGCGCGAGCGCGATTATTAAATTGTCTTTTGTAAGTAATGCGGCTATCTTGTAAATAATAATTTATTGTTATTAAAACGTGGCGCGAGCGCGACCTTTTGTCCGAAAGGTAAGGTCGCGGCGCTGCCCATAGTGTAAAGTAATAATACTAAAAGCGCTGCCGTTCGCTGCGTGCGTTTGCGGTGGTAGCGATACATTGCGTGTACGGTAATGAAACAAATCGGTTTAATTGGATTCCCATAACGTTCCTGAAATAATTTCATGTACCGGTCAACTTAAGACGATATATTGAATCCACCCTATCAGTTTGCGGAAGGCTGTCCCTTACACCCTGTATTCTCATATGACTTATTTTTTCGGTGTGTTTAGTATACACATGTATCCTTTGTACACTGTGTGTAGTGAATGAATGTACTTTTAGATGACATAGACAATTCTGTCTACCAAGATGAAGGATTAGAAAGAAATCAATAATTTTCCGTGCATAAAATAATGATTAAATGTTTGTTTAAAATAAGTAGATTTCATAATATAAAAAAGTCGAATAAGTTAAAGTAACATAGTCGATCTACAAAGATATTGGTAGTTGAAACCTTTAATTGTCGATTTTTTTATTATTGCGTTGGTTGTTTAGAATTTCATCTTAATTTATTTGAATTTTTTATTTGTGTAGTAACAATAAACATTTCTATTTTTAGATCAATCAAATTGTGTGTTTTAACTCCGGTACCATCTAACATATTACATAAAGAGGTAAACAAGGTACAAAAGTAAGTTTTTATGTAGGGGGTAATCTTTGAAACCGCTGGGGGCCAATTCTCGATTTTCGACATTTATCTCGAGTTAGAGATTATAAGTCTATCTATATGTCTATCAAAAATATCTCTACCTCTACCAAAAAACATCGTATTGAGCAGGATTCCGTATTCTCAGTCAAAATAGAAATAAATGTCACCAAAATGTCGAGTCGAGTGAAAATAATGTTACCATTATGGAGAATCACACGTTCCGTTTTAGGTTAGGTTAGGTTAGGTTATGAGTGAATGAATGATTTTGTTATAAAACGCTCATTCAAGCCCAAACACAAGGCAACTACTCCAAATAGTCAAGGAGATCCCTCGACTGTCTTCCGGCTCCATCATCAGGTCGGGTTCGAACATCGGCAAGTTGTAAATTTGTTAAAAGCCTACTAAAACCATATGCAAAAGAACCACTCGCCCCTACAATTTTTGAAAGTTCCCCTCGATTTCTCTGGTCTTCCATCATCAGATCCTGATTTCCTTATCATGGGACCATTCTGGGACTATCCCCTTTCCAATAAAAAAAGAATTATCAAAATCGGTTCATAAATAACGGAGATGTCGGCGAACAAACATAAAAAAAGCATTTATATACGGTCGAATTGAGAACCTTCTCCTTTTTTGGAAGTCGGTCAAAAACTAACGCCGCGTGACTTCAACTGGCGTCCAACGATTTTGCTGCACAAATGATTGTTAATTATTTTCATATTGCTGCCATCATTATTGTTATGTAGATGTAAAGTTTATTTGTTAGTTTTCTAAGATTATTATTGTTTAAAGACAAAAAACTGTACTATGTATGTGTAATTAGTCTGATTTTATAATCAAGATGTTTCAATAAGGTCAAGAAATTTGACAGATTTGGATACTTTAAGGAATACCTCGTTGTTTAGCTACCCCTGAGAGTATCCAAGTCAGTAAGTCACATTCACAGAGTTCATTATTATAACTTTTATAGTGTATATGGTCACGAATGTATAGATATATTTAATGAATGTTGTTTACCATATTGTAATTTATTAATTTAGTCACATGCATATTATATTAATATTAAGGTTCCATATAACAAATTAACCAATTTTATAATAGTTTATAACAATTTATTAAAATTCTAAGAATATATAAATAATTAAATTATATTTTGTTTTTTTTTTAAATTTGTTATTATTAATTATAAAGTAGTGCTTGACTGCAATCCCACCTGATGGTAAGCAGTGATGCAATCGTTGCTGGTAAGGCACACTAGTTTATTAAGAGCCTATTCACTCTAGCCTTGAACCACCAACACAACCTATTCCAATCCTTAGATGTGCGTGGTATAAACGACGAAGTGAAACGCATGACCGGATGGTAGAGGTCTCCACAATATAAGGCGGTTTTCCCATGGTGGAAAATGGATAAGATAATCAACTCATGTAGTTTCCGAATTGTTATTTCGCGAATGTCATCGTTTCAAGGAAACACAATAAACAAATTAAATAGTCTGTATCGATTTTCGAGTACTTAGAATAAAAATCGAAGTACGAATTTTAGAATTAAAAATCGAAAGAAAAGAAAACACTTTATAATCCAAAACTCAACGAATTCACTCAGAAATGATGTATCTCTACAATCGAAATGTCATCTCTACTGCTCAGAAGCACTCGACATGAACTCTAACGTTAGCCTTCGACAAATCTCGGATTCGACATGCTCAGAATAACAACTTTTAAAATTTGTCGAAAGAATGACGTCATTCGAATTTTTTGTCGAGTTCGACACCATCTCTAAAGCCGAGAATTGGCACCCTGGTCGGATTGCCAAAAATCTTTTGCTGGTAAATAGCTACAATGTTCCTGAGTGCTACAGGCTATAAAAAATCACGCTACGATCAAATGCGCGAGATTAGCTAGTTTTTAAATATCATTTTAAATTATATTAATAAGCGTGTATGTAATTAATTACTCTTGTTTTTTACAAATTTAAATGAATTTTCCTGTTTGCGTTTTAGTGGCACTCGTGGTTTTCATTGCCAAATCAGTCCAGCGGAAACGGCTGTAACGATTTCGCTAAAATTTGATATGTGGGGGTTTCGGGGATGAGAAATCGATCTAGCTCAGTCTCGTGTCTGGGGAAAAGCATTTATTCGAGTTTTCCCTTTCGCAATATTTCACGCATTATATGCTAATTTTGCGAGGCTTGATATAGCGGCTGTGGCGTATTCAATAGCGGTCTCTCGCGATATGGTGTTCCTCAGGTCAAAGTTCAAACCCAAGAAGTATACATTTTTTTATTTTAGTTTTGCTGTCACTTAGAAATAAAATTGTACATAAGAAAAACAAGAAAAAAAATTAAAAATAAATTTGTTATTTAAATTTTTTATTAAACTTTTAGTTAAGTATAGACTGAATCAAGAGCTCAAGAGGGTAGAGATAGGTTGGACTAATTTAAACATTTTATTAAATAAATAAATATATATATTTTTTCATCAGCCTTTTGACTTCAGTGATGTAAACACATACAGCAGATTATACCCACGGACAGCAATGTCATCTACATTTGTAGATGTCAAGTACGAAGTTCAGCGGGTAAAACCAAAAAGTTAAGATTTATTACAATTACAGTTACAAACAAAGCTTAAGTGTCAGTAAAGCTTTTAGTAAAGCCTCATCCCAAAGGAGAAGAATGAGGAAGAAACTCGATGGTTACTACTCTTTTCTTTGTTACAATTGTAAGAACAGTGTAGCATTATATTTAGTAAAAGAAACAGGAAAAATTCTTAAGGACCCCTTCTCTCATTCTACTTTAGATACTCAATATTTTAACTTACTAATAACAATCACAAATAAAATATTTTTAACCCATATTATATAGATGCATAAAGTGATATCCTTAATATCGGGGTTGCGGGGTAATCACAATGAGGCACCACCACCTCGGCTCAGAGCAGGAGAAGGAACAGGGGGGTTTTTAGATAGTAAGAGTCTGACACTCCCTCCCGCAAATCAATGTAAAACAGTCTTTTCAAATGATAACAAAACAACATAAACAATACAATCTATAATACAATAACAATACAAACTGATCAAGTATATCGACTTGGCTCTTGAGGTTGCCGACATGTGGGAAGTGGATTCAGCTATCATTGTACCGATAGTCGTGTCAGCCAATGGCTTAATAGCCAAGAGCCTCGACCAACATCTTAGGAGGCTCTCGTTAGGTGGCTGGGTCAAGGGCTTGATTCAGAAAGTGGTATTCCTGGACACAGCTCATATCGTCAGGAGGTTCCTTTCTCTGGATCCTTGACCGCCGGTAGCTTGGACCCAGTTCCCGATACCGGTGGGACACTATTTTTTATATTTTTAAATGTTTTTTATTATTTATTTTTAAGAAATATTTAAAAATGTAATTTATATGTTTATATGCTGAATAAAAAAATAAAAATTGAAAGCTGAACAGTTAGTTCCAATGCACTAAACTGTCTTTAGAATAAACGATTTAATTACACATTTTTTGAATATTTTGGATACAGCTTACTTATCGAGGGATGTTGTAGGTTAAAAACATTAGCATCACACACACCAATAGGATCCCAGCATCAAGTAAAACAGTAAGAGAAGACATGTCTTTACATGTCTGGTTACAAACTAACTAAAATACATGATAATATATTCTTATTAGATTATTATTTAATTCATATTTCAATGTCAGTGTCAGAATTGGTTTCGACTTATGAGAATGAGAAAGAGAGAGAGAAATTGAGTTAGAAACTATCATTTTCTCGGCAATAGATGATATAACGATCTCAGAATACAGAACAAACATAACGATATGATAAAAAAATAAGACAAGACGGTGCTAAAATTGGGGGTTTTTAATAAGTACACAATAGTTTGACTCGACTGGCATTGGATAGTTACTTTCGCATACAATATATATAGATAACGAAACATAATATAAAGTCAATTCGCTTTAAGAAGTTTTCTGTAAACTTACCTCTATTGCGATTATTCCATCTTTCTTCGTCAGACATTTTATCGGCTAAATATAATTACAATTATCGCTAACAATTAATTTACTTTAAAGTTCCTAAATATTCAATCACTAAAAATGTAATTGTCATTCGATATTCCTTTCTTTCACGAAACATAAAACGAAAAATAAAAATCTCACTGCAACAGTAATTATTTATCATAGACAATACAATAATTATCAATATTATGACAATAGACAAATTTAGTCATTTTTTTTTTAGTTTATTGCCTGGATACAAGTTTTTTAAGCCAATATTCAGACATAATATATACTCAGTGTTACCAACTTTCAAAAATATTTATCTCCAAATCTGGTAACAAAATCCTCTAAAATCGAGTATAATATAATCTCAAAATAAGGGTGTCTCGTAGGAATCTCAAAAATGGAAAGTACGTAAGGGATACCGACGTGCTAAACCAATTTTGATTAATTCTGGATAGGTACATTTTTTGGTAAGACATACTCAAAGCTCGACTTAGATGTCGGTATCATCGCCTTTGCTTACTTTTTTAGACGTTTTATGTAAATATTAGTAGGAGTTAGAATTAATAAATTTATAAATAATGTATAAAATAACAGTCAGACTTAATTTAATTGAATAAGTTAAACAAATATAAGCAGAGATGACGAATAACAGAAGATCTCATCTCCTCCTGCCGGAGGCTCTACATGGGAGTTGTACGGTCGATGGCGTTATACGCTGCGAAGGAAACAGCGCGCGATGGCCGTCAGGATAATAAGGGGATACCGTACGATCTCCTTTGAGGCAGCGAGCCTCCTAGCCGGATCTCCGCCCTGGGACCTCGATGCAAAACTCCTCGCGTCGCTCTATTGGTGGCGCGCGGAGGCAGTCGAGCGGGTCGAACGCCTGGTGCCTCTACAGGTTGAGGCACGCAGGGCAGAACTCCGCCAGGCCCGCCAGGCAGACTCAGGCAGGAGTGGCAGACGCGTTTAGCGCAACCCACGGCGGGGCACGCCGCTATATAGGCGGTAAGGCTCGTTCTAGAAAAGTGGCTCAATAGGTGAAACGGCGCCCTCAGCTTCCGGCCGACGCAGGTACTTACCGGACACAAGTGTTTCGGGAAGTACCTGTGTCGCATAGGTCGGGAGCCGACGTCTCATTGCCACCATTGTGGTGATTGCCGGACGATACGGCGCTGCATACCTTGGCGGAGTGCCCAGCTTGGGCCGAGCAGCGCCATGACCTGGTCGTGGCCGTAGGTGCTGCGGGAAATCTTTCGCTTCCGGCTGTAGTGTCTGCTATGGTCGGGAGTGAGTCAGGGTGGAGTACCGTCGCTAACTTCTGCGAGGCCGTGATGCTCGCAAAGGAGGCGGCGGCAAGGGAGAGAGGCTGCCTCCTCTCTCCCCTCCCGCAGCAGACGCATTAGACGTCGAAGGGTTGCCGACCTGCGGCCACCGTAGGGCGCGGCCTACGAACGACAGACTCGGGGCGTCTTGTCGTCCGACCAGCAGCAGGCATCGAGGCGGCGGCGCCGTGTTCCGCGCGCGCCTCATAGTTAAGTCCTGCGGTCGGGGTGACGGCCGCAGTGGGTGACGGGGTCCGCCAAACCATCTGGCCGGACAATACCCGTCGGGGCTTCGTTGCGACGAAGGCTTCGGCGATACCCACCCCTACGACACATTGGTAAGTGGAGGAACACCGGGTTGGTTTTTAGTCAGTAAGAGTCTGACAGTACCCTTGCCTTTCCCCGAGGGCGAATAATCAAACGTTTGGTGTCCTTTGGTTCTTTTAATGTTAGTGAGGTTCCTTATTGGAAGGTTAAAGTTTTGATACTTGTGTTTCCTCTTCTTCTTTCAAGCGCCATGAAACACCGCGGCCTCAGCCCAGAGCAGGAGAAGGAATGGAGAGGAAAGGGCGGGGGATTAGTCAGTAAGACACTCCGTCCTGCCCGACCCTGGGCGGGAGAAGTCATGAAGTCATTTCAAAGGTACCTACTCTTTTTTTTTGTAAAATTTCAGACTCTTCGATGAACATATAGGACATACCACCTTAGAGACTGAACCTCCCACGATGGATTAGAAATTTAGAACAAAGATTACATCCCTGAAAAAGAAAGCATCTGATCCCCCTCCATCCTTTAACAGTTCCTCCTTTTTTAAGACACTTACAAATATCAAGTATAAACATCGCAAGTCCCAGTATTCCGAGTGGCCACGCATATTTCATATACGTTTTACCAAGGTCTAAGTTTGTGTAGATTCTGATGTGACAAAACCAATTATGGCAAACGCGATCATGCGAAATCTGGTGAGATAAAATAGTTTTAAAACCCATTATCCATATTTAGGCCTGGCTTTTTAATTGCAAATAGTATTAGAACTTTTAACTCAATAATGCGATTGATGTTTGTTTCGGCTAGGACCTGTTTTGTACTGTGTCGGAAACGAATGCAAAAGGAAACAGTAAAAAAACGGGTCTTAAATAAAAAACAAATTATGGTATAATTCGGCAAACGAGCAGACGGATTACCTGATGGTAAGCAATAGGCGCCGCCCATGGACACCCGCAACACCAAAAGAGTTACGAGTGCGTTGCCGGCATTTTGGGGACCATATAAATTTATCTAAGCGATGGAATATGGAACATCACTTAAGGTTTATTTAGTTTTGTAGTATAATTCATTCGACAAAAATCAAGATCCCAAATATCTGAATTACATAAAATTAATGTACATATAATATAATGAAGTAAAGATATATTTAAACGTCCTTAAATTATATTTATTCTAATCATCTTTATTTTTTTGTAAGATTAGAAGCAGTTTTATGACTTTATAACAGGGTTAAGAATTTTTTAGTCTGTGGCAGGCGGCTCATACTCATTCATTCGTCGACATTACAAACTGAACAAATGGAAAAGTCTGTATTCTCTTCCGTCGCCGTCAGTCCAGTCAACTCAGTTTGGCATAGTGCTTTATTCAATGACGTGACTGACGTACATTTTTGTAATATTAAATAAACGTCCATTTTATTATATTGTGAGAAAATGGATCGCTTGCGAATGCGTGTGAACTTTAAATATATAACTAGTGTGTTCCTTTTGGTGTTTGCTGTTAGCCAGTCTACTATTGGTATGTCGCAACTTTACTGCCCACGTAATAAAAACAATGCATATTATAAATTCAGACTTTGAGTGCTACTCATACATCTAAACTTTTGTTGTAAATAAATGAGTACGAATACCTATATTTTCTGTAGGAAATCGGCTTCTTGCATAAACTTGAAACTTATTTTGTGGTAAGGTAGACAGTTTGTAGGCCACGACATTATTTTGCATGTTCGTCTCCGACCAAGAAAGAGGCATAGAAAACCTTGAAAACTTCTTGGCTTTTTTATTATCAAGTTTGGGTATCTTTGAGCATCTACGTCATCCGTCGTGATTTTTATTATTTGTGCTACTATATTTATTTCAAAAATTGAAAGATTTTGTTGAACAACTTGTTGCTTTCGTAAGTTGAATGCAAATTAGTCGGAGGTAGACTGGTAGTTAACTGTGAATATCATCTCGTTTTCTCAGAATCTGAATAAATATACATAGACATGTATTAACATTACCATTTAACATTATTGTTGTTTAAAATGATTTATTATTCGATTTTTTTGTCTTTTCCATCATTTTATATTCCCTTTCGTTTATTGGTCGTATCTATACGTACCTAAATATTTATTTCGCGATGGTGGTTTCGTAGACAAAACATTATATAGATATTGTTTCACACCATTTAATTAGCAAAATAAAGGTTCGAAACCTGAAAATTTGCAGAAAATAGTTAATCTATTTAGTATTTATGGCCACCATCTACCTACGACATGATTTTTGTGTTTTAAGTTAAATGAGAAAATTGGTAGTATAAATTGTATTGTAGCCCAAAGAAGACATAATATCAGCACAAAATGTTAATCAGATCATTGACAGTTTTATAGTTATAAAATAAACATGATACAGGCCTATATCGGTGGTCTCTACTGCCTGTCTGATTAAATAATATAATAACATTGTTATTATTAGGCAGTACTAACAACCTGGTTAGGAAAACTTGGAATGAAGATGTTTAGCCTGTTAGTAAGTTAGCCAGAAAAATAATGTACATATTTTATTGTTTTACTTAATTAATATAAGTTCACTTAGATAAAATAAATTTAAATAATTTTCGGAACAGCTAACATATTAACTTGTACACAAAAATGTGTCGTCATGTAATTTTTCAATACTAAAGTAGCAAATTTGACAAAGATAAAAAAAATGTGTGAATCCTTTTACAAGATTTTTTATTCAATCAATTATTTTATGACAGTGAATAAATTACTAGATACTAACCTAACAACAATAGAAGAAAAATAAGATTACACCACAATTGTTTGGTGGATGTAATGTCATCCATATCAAAAATATCAGTTAGAAGTTTTTGTTATGAGTTGCATGAACAGATGTTCATGTAACCCATTACTCTAATGGTTGGCCAGTGTTCACCGACACATCTCTATTACTTTTCAATTTGCCTAGACTACAGAACTTCAAACATTTATACATATACATATCTGCACATGTATTTAAGCATTAGGTTTATGTATTGTATTAAATTTTATTTTTTTCCACAATAGAGGGTAGCCTGTGCTAAGAAGTACAAGAGCTGCTATAAGCGTCTGTACAAACAATACAACCTTATTGTATTATAAATTAACCTTGGTGTTATTTAGTTACACTATTGACTGTCTGTCTCTTGTATTTTTTTTTACTTATCACATAACAACAAACAATTTAATTTATGTCGCAGGGAACTAAAATTACGCACGCAAATTATTTCGTCACTTCACATGCGACACTCAAAATTACTATACAAATTTTTCTGGTATAAAACTTGGTCACAATTTAATTTTCATTTATCAATATACCAACCATATTGTTTTTATAGCAGTTTTTATGCAGGTCCGAGGTCAACGAACGGAGATCAGGACTTCTTGTCTCTTATAGCCCAACAAGTTGCGATGACGTAGTAACGAGCTCGTAAACTCAAGGTTGCATTTCATCCTCGTGTTTTGATATTGTGCTAGAATATATTTTGAAGTTGCTGTTTTCGAATGACTTAAAAGTCGTATTAAGTAGGTATGACAGAGTAGTCACAGTCATTTATGATAAGTAGGCCCTGAATTATTTCCAATTATGTACTCATATCCTATTGGTAGGAATTGATGTAAGCTACATGAAAATCGTATTTGATTGTATCTATGTAATGTAATGACTGACAAAACTGATTTTTTGTATACAAATTAAGGCAATGTTTTGCTAAAAATCTGAGTATTTCTTAATAAACCCACCCTCGATGTTAGTTTAGAAACGGTCCCAAAGTGACGACGTTTTTTCACATAATATTTTATTGCAATGAAATATATTTTGGTTTACAATTCAGCTTTTCTGTGCACATATCAGTATTTTTAATGTGTATTGCTTATAATACGAGCACTAATGTATTTGTATTGAACATAAGCTTATTAGGTACCGTAATAAAAGTACCGCACACTTTTTGAAATTACATAAGTCTTGAAAGTATACTTAGTTACGACGTTAACTTTATTCTCTGAAAATAATTTGATACACCAGACAATGTTCATTGTTGTATGCAAGTGAAGAAATTTCATTAGATATCTGGTGCTTCTGCATACTCTAATACGTAGAACACACGTTACGTTATTTACGAAGAACAGTAAGATCAAATACGTCATTGTTATTGAGAACTGTGTCGTCAAGCAATCTCTTGTTTATTGCTCTTTTTTACTTGTAGAAAAAACATCCATTTTGTTGTTTCGTTGTGACCCCATTCAAATTATTTATTCTATTTTTGTATTTGTAGTGCAACTTGGCTAATGTATTCAAAACCTGATCAAGTGTTGCACTTGTGTACTTTTCCTGAAAAGCAAAATTACTCCTCTATAATTGTCAATTTTTTATTTAATAAATGTGAAATCATCATTATGTAGACAATTTTATGGCCTTATGACAATGTTATGTAAATGTTGATCCGACTAACCTATGCGAAAAAAATACAAATAAAAATATGATATAATTGTATTTATATCTTAAAATTAAAGGATTCTAAACCGGCCGATTTAGGTAACAAAGAATTCTTCCACGTCAGTCGTTGGGAAACGAGAACACTGGCAGCATTGCCACTTTTATGGCAATGCAAACTTTCCAATGTATTTCAATTTAACTATATTCGTACGACCATTCGTCTTTATGATACTGACCATTAAAAAGGAAAAACTAACAGAATTGAGGGGTCATTGAGGGAGGGGGTAATAAGGGGTAAAAATCTTATTCTTCAATTGAAATTCGCATCGTTGACTGATTACGAGATTTCAGTGGAAAACAAACGGCTTACCCTCCATTTGTGCAATAACTCAACTTTAAATATTTTTGTTAGAATTTCCAACAACATCAAAAAGTGAAGTTGTACGAGTCAGCGACTGTACATCATACGCACGCGCGATTCATGTCAGCAGTTCTTAGTTTATTCATTTCTTTATAATTATAGCAATCAATTTGTATTCAGTACATGTTCAACACTCAAATACATCAGTACTCATCAATCATTAGTTTAGTTGATAATATAGTCGACGAGTTAGTTAAGTGTATCAATAAATATCATCTCACCGGACTATCAAGCGACTTATTTCCACCTAGACTCCAAGTTGTGTGAGACTCACTCAATAACTCATACATCTTTATGGTCCTTCGAGCCGGATTCAACCAACGACATCCTCAGGGACAGAGTGCTTCTATCTACGATAGCGAATCGGTTTGACTGGTCTTCCACAAGCGGATCGCCCCAGTCAGATTGAGAAGGCGCACATATCGTAGTAGAAAATATATCTGATCCTGAGGTCATCAAACACCGGCAACAAACACAAAAGTTCATTGAAACACAGCAGCAACATTGTTAAAAGCATATTCAGGAACTCGAAGTATTCAATACTTATCTTTCAACATGGAGGGAGCTATTGAAACTCAATATCAAATCATGCAAGCCATGAACAACGTCTTGACAAACTTCAAAAAAGACGGACCTAGCCGCAAAACACCTACAAATATTAAGAAGAAAATAGACCTTCTCGACAAGTATTGGGCTGAGTTCCAGAACAATCACGAAAAAATTAGTGAGAGGGAAAATCTTACTCATCCATACTTTGCTCAAGATTCTTATGAGCAGACTAAGGAATTCTACAATAGCACTCGTGACTACTTAGTGAAGTATTTAAACCTAGACCAGAAACCAGTGTCTCCAATGTTGAAGTCATCTGCGTGGACATATGACCCAACACCCTCCACTTCACATAAAGCAGAGTCAGAACCCATTCAAGAACAAGGTGACGATGGAAAAGGAACCACGCCGCTTACAATACAGGTGCCAGAAGTACCAGAGCCCGAGACCAGCAGCAAGGTAAGCGAAATGTTACGCAAACAAAGAAGCAACATCAAAGCTTTTCAAAGAAACGCGTCTAATATCAACTTGGACGTTCTTAAAGATAAATGGCAGTTTGAAGATGCCTTACAAGTATTAGAATTAAGATGGAAAGCAGTGGATACGCTTTATTGGGAGCTTGATAGTTTGCCCAATAATACCGACATACAATACGAGATGTCATACAATACTTGCGAAATTATTTACAACGAAATGAAGACCAAAATCAACTCAAAAATGTGGTCAGTTGCACATCGAGAAAAGTCTACACCGAAAATTGAGATTCCAACCTTTAATGGAAGTTATTTATATTGGACGGCATTTAAAGACTTATTCGTCGAAACGATTCACTCCAATCCATCCCTCTCGAATGCCCAGAGAATGCAGTTTCTGAAAAGTAAAGTTAAAGGTGAAGCTGAAAAACTTATTCATCATTTATCAATAAGCTCAGACAATTATGAAACAGCTTGGGAGATCCTCAATCACCGGTACAACAACAAGAAATTAATATTTTCCTCGCACGTCAATGCATTACTAAGTGTACCCAACACCCAGAACTTATCGGCAACATCAGTCAAACGGCTGCATGATACAACTAAAGAATGCCTGAA